ATATGTATAGATTATTGATTATGTGGATTACATATATTATGCTCTATTCAATATTCAATAAACCATACAGAAATAATAATTATAAAATAGCTTTATAAGCTGGCGTTAGATCCGCAGTTATAAAATAAAATATATATTTAAACATATAATATTCTAGAGTACTTAAATTTATATACTTTTCCTACAGTCACGATATGTAAGCTTGATATGTTATATGTAATTACAAGAACCTAGGATTTTTATTTATATTGCATATTATTTTTCATTATTATAGGCTACAACCGTAATAATTGAAAAATACTAACAAAATTAAATTCCGTAGTATTTGGAAACAGGGAACAAGGACACTTAAAGACTTGTAGGAGTTGCAATCATTTTATTTAATAAAAAAAGAGAGCTGGTTCCCAACTTCTTAGGTTAGGCATATGAATAGAAACCGAACCAATTCACCCTTTGTTTAAATTAAAGTTAATAAGAGTGTTTAGTAGTTCGTCTTGCCAGAATTAGCTTTTTGGGCTTGTTCTCTCCATGCTGAATACAAGAACAGAACAGGGAACAAATGAATCGACTTTAAAGCTGTTATCGCCCTTAACAGTTCAATGTCGCCCATTTTATGATATGTATAGAATTCTGTTTAGTGATAAGTTTCATATATTTTGTGTGTATTTTTTTTTTCTTTTTTTACGTTTAATCGTTATCGTGCGCGCGTATTCGATGCTTTGATAAGTTCAATTTGTATTCTATTTTATGCCAACTTGAACAAATTTATTGTTGATTTTGTGTTTGTTGTTTTTTCGCCTTTGGTTTTTTTCGCTGGTTAAACTAGAAATAAACAACATAAAAAAAATACAATGGCCAAATGTGGGCGCTGCACACAGATGTGCAGAAATGTGTGGCGTGTTGTGGCTTCAATTGGTATTATTTCGGCTACGCACTAGACCATTTACGTCTTTTCCATTTGGCCATATCGCACCATCGGCCACCAGCACTGGGCTGACTGGCAAATTGTTATGGGTGGTGGGCGGTGGGTGGTGTGAGGTGGGATTGTCACGCGACTGTGAATTAACCTGTTGAACACACAGACACGCTTCGGCCGGCGATAAGACCTGTGTTGCCTAACAAGTATTAAAAGGCCACTAATTTGGCATTGTTTCGCCTGCTTTTGGACTATCGAACTTCAAACTTTCGACTCGCCCGGGAACCACTTTTATAAACGCATTACTCAAATGTGCAGCGGGCAAAAACGAAGGAAAAATAAATATTTATCGAATTACATTGTTCTGGGTGGCAATTTCTCTTTCAAATTGTAGTAGATTATATTTAAAAAATTCATTTCTTTATGCAATTATGGCCAAGCTTTACCGTTTCACTTATATAAATTCAAAATTGATTTAATTGGATTTGTTTCTGTGTGAATGTAATATAAGTTATTGATCCAATTGGAGGGATATTTTCTTGTTGCTTGTTAAAATTGATTTACTAAATAATTGAACAAAAATGTAAATGGATATTGTGTTATTTTTTGCTTTATCTAAAATGTGAGCTGTTAACACACTTTACCTTTGGCAGGCTGCGGTCAGACGTGCGTTAGATATATTTTAAATGTTATTTTAAAATGGAAAAATGTGCATGCAGTTAATGCTGCCTTTTGCTGAAAATGTTTGGAAATGTTTTTATTTTGTTCTAGTCTTTAATATGCCTTTGTTCATGAGCTAAACAATTCGGAAAAACTTTGATTTAACTTTTTTCAAAGTTGCGTTGTTTTATCTGTGCGATTGACGCAGCTGCTCTTATATGTGAGTATGTGTGTGTGTGCGTGTGTGTGTGTGCGTATGTGTGTGAATCTATCATATCTACGGCCTTACAAATCGTTGCTGCCTTTTAAAATCAGCGAATGTCAACAGCTGATAAAACAATGTTATTGCAATCAAATGTTCAGCATTGCCCGTATAATATGTAATGCCAATTCCATTAAACAAATACAGAAAACAAAAATAAGTATCTGTGCGATTTGCAAGTGCGAACGCTTGCTTTATTTGCCAGGTAACATAAATTGACCCAAAATTATCGTTTTCTGAAATTGCATTTCAATTGTTTGTTATTAATCCTTTAAACGCTCGACTGAGCGTTATTGATTTTCATTTGCACAAACAGTTGAAAAGATCCTTTCATGTGAAAAATATTGCAGCTAAAATTTTATAAATTTTAATTACCTAGAAGGTTAAGAGAGACTATTTCAAAGGTATTTTTAATTCATATTTAATGTTTATTACAATTAATTAAATTTGCACTCGTATTGGGAATTGCAATAAATTCAAATTCTTGGGCAAGATTTATATACATTTACATATAATAGTAAATGTCAAAAAAAAAAAAAAACGAGATATTAGGTAAGTTCGACTCTAAGAAGCAACGTTTACGAACAAGACATAGTAAAGAATTGATAAAATAAATGCTCTCTCGTCAGAGTAAAGTCGAAAGAGAGCAAAATGCGTGTAGCCTGTGTTCATTCATAGAAAAAGTACACATCCGCTCTTTTGCACATTTTGTTTTGTTCTGTTGTATTTATGAACACATTTTTATTTTATTTAACAATTTGTTTATATTGCATGGGCGCATAACATATGTGTATATGTGTGTGGGCGTTCATTAACAAAAGTTTGACGCGTTTTGATTAAATAAAATGAAAGCGAATTCTTGGCTACGGCTCAGCGGGATATTTGTTGCCTAAGAACAATAAATAAATAGAAGGCATCCCTGTAAATAAACGTGCCACTAAAATTTTCAAATTTAATTTTTAAAAGCAAGACCAACAACTAGACCAAGAGTTCGAGCCTAATTTATCAAATTCAGTGCCTGTTTATTTAGATTAAAAATTGCCTTCATAGGTATATATACATACATATATATTTTTTGGTATATATATGCATGTTTGTGTGTGTGTTGAAGCGTTCAATAATAATAAATAATATGCTTTTAAGCAGTTCTAACAGAAGCAGCAACAGCCCAGAGGGATAGAGAGAGAGCGAGAGTCAGAGTGAGATCGGGAGAGAAGGAGAGAGAGAGACAGACAGAGAGGGAGCGACCTCTCCCACAAATTTTGTATTTGGAAGGTAGCTGCCAATTCGATAAGTAATCGACACACACACGCACACACACACACACACACACACACACACACACACACTCACACACACACACATGCAGACGCACGTAGAAAATGGCGTCGCTGCTTATCACTTCAAGTGGCCGTTGCTTAATTTGTCCACAAAAAGAACTAAATAAAAATAAAAAATAAAATTACCCACAGCGCCGCACAATCTAATGTAAAAAAAAAAAATGTGAAAGCGCGCAGTAGTCAGAACTAAAATGCCATAAAGACAATAATAATTGTTTATAGGACTGTGCCACTGTGCACAGTGTGGTGAGGGGCTATGCATCAAGACAGAGGTGAGCGGGGCTGTTGCTCAAGTGCCCTCCGATACAGTTCAAAAGTCCATGCAATACTGTCAAAAAACCCAATTAGTCGTACCTAAGCACAGATACAGCACCAGCCCCTCCCAGCCCCAGTCCAGAGCCACGCCCCCCACTGCGCAACCCATACAATATATATATATATATATATATATATATATATATATATATATATATATATATATATAGTTATGTATGTATTTATATGCCGATTGACTTGAGTTCAGCGTCAAGTCGAAATTTATTGCGCAGTCGAAGCAATTGACATCAGATTGATGACTGGACTGACCCAACGACATGGAGCTCAGTAAATTATCCTATCACAGATATCTTAGTTGTTGGTAAATTTCATTTGTAGCAAATTACAGGGTAATTGAGATTTGACCTATATACTCAATACCCTCACTCTCTCTCTTTAAATACTCTACACTATACAGAAACTGCTTGCAATGCAAAAAAATAAAATCGGAGTCAGCGATAATCGTATAGATTACTCGATCATATAGCTGGTATAAATAAATATATATTTCTTTTTAAATATAAATGATTTAGATCAAAATCAACTAATAAAACATTAAATATGTATAAATATATAAATATATATATTAAATTAAAACTGACCGATCTAAAGATCTTATAGTTTTTAAACGAAACATCATCAACTATTATGGATTAAGTGTTGGGATTAGGATTTTATTAATATGATAGACGAAATCTTTTAGCAAAAGCCTTTTTTTAAAATCTAAATAAATCGAAAACAGTTTTTTTTGCAAAATCCGCCAACTAAATAACCGATTTTCTTTAAAATTGTTATACTGTGACATAGAGAGGTAGGGGCATTAAATATTCGGCTAGCTGAAGCTAAACAGCATTTCTTCTTCTGCACTTATTATTTTTGTGCCTTGCTGTTGCTATCTAATCAAGGCCAAACGTCTGCTGCCAGCCATGATTCCGTTTACCAATTCGCAGCCAAAAATTGTGCACTCAAGTACTATAAACTATGTATATAAACCAGAAGGGTAACATTTTGTGAAATTCCCGCAAAATTCCCCATTTCTGATTCTGGTCGTTTGCATATGAAAATTAACATAATTCGTAGTCAAAAGGGGGTATCTAGGCAGAGAAATTTCCGACTTTAGAAAATGTATATGCACTTTCTCCATTTCCCTGAATTGAATATATCTGCAAGCATTTGTATTTAATATTTAAGCGCAGAACATTTTATAAAGATCGGACTATAAAACACCGAAGTTATTCAAGAATGCACTTCCTATAGCAAGGCTCTAACGCAAGAAGAAGCACTGTATGTCTATGTGTTTGAGAGCGTATTGTAATCTATGTAAAGAATAATGTTCGCATAGTTAAAGGAACAGCTCAACGCTTGGTACAGAGCATTTGCCGTCTGGCAAACTTTTAATTGAACAAAGTAAAGTTCAACTGGACTCTCAATTAATTTCTCGAAAATATTGCCAAGCAAATATAAAATAGTCGAATTACAGTGGGGGGACCTAAGTTTGTGCACTTACCACATCAGTTTTAACAGAATAGTCCACTTCAGAGTTGTGTCAATTTACTTTTAAATAAGGTTGCTTTTTCACTCTAAAGAGTTACCAGAATTGGGCATTAGATTTTATTGACACTGAGTAACCACTTGACGTATTTGTATTTGTTGTCGTTTCACAACACTTGTCCATTTAACTATTGTGGCCAATACAAATACGAAACACTTTGTTTTGGGTAATTGTGATTTGACGCTTTTTGCCGCTTGACGCTTTTTACATTAAAAAATTGAAGAGCAATTATTAATTTCAATTTTTCACAGAGCTGTTTTTTGTTTTCACTTGGCACGTTGTGCTTTTTTCTTTCCTCAAATTCTTTCAATTTCTAAAAAAAAAATGTATTCTTTCTCAATTGTATATGCAAATACGTGTAAATTATGCCACACACACTTTCTATGCAAATATGATTTATAATATGATTTTATAATAGTTGACTGCACACGCACATTTTCTTTTCATTTTTTTAATTTTCCATTTGCATTTCCAATTTGTAATATTTGCGCTATTTTTAAACTAATTTTGATTTTATTTTGATTATGATTTCGCTTTTCAAATTTGTCACGCGCGCCAAATTGTGTTGATGCAACAAATATAATTTGATAACGGACGTAACACACGTTGAAGCAACAAGCGTTTGTGCCGCAATGATAAAATTTGTTAACGTTCAAGTTTTGCCCTCCGTGCTTGGCAGTAGTAAAAGCTTCGCCGAAAGCTCTGCCTTACGCTTCAGTGTGCTGTGATAACGTAGCCAATGTGTGTGTGTGTGTGTGTGCTTGTGCGTGCTTCAAGTTTCTGCACAGTGAAGCCTAACTAAACGAGAACGTGATATAGTCGCATTAAACATTAAAACAATTAAATATATTAGGTATGTGTATATTTTTGTTGAGAGTTAATCCCAATTTTAGAGCACTCGAAGAGAAGCACAGTAAGGCCTAGCTAACCGAAAAAGCTACTAATTATGGTTGAGAATTTAAATAATATTAAAATCTGGAGCGTGCGAGTATAAAAGAATCGCAAATATTTTCGTGACATACAACAAATAGTACAGTACTAAAATAAAGATATTTTAAGATATCTTGATATCTATAGTATATTTAGCTTTCGTATATAAGCACTTTGAAGCTATATATCTACAGCCGCACCCTTTATTTTGTCTAACTGTATAAACTTTTGAAACAGCTGTTCAAGCAATGTAGTTTTTCGATATGATTCTAAAAATCAGCCTGCCTGGAAATATCCTTCATATACACTCAGTATTATTAATGCCACAGTAAACCATTCAGTTCTCAGTTAATTCTAGATTTTGGTAAAAATAAAAAACAGCTTAGTTCTACAAAATATCAAACAGTTAGAGTAGTACAAAATTTGGTGGACAGTCGAGCTGCTATTAAATTCCAAGAGACAATAGAAATCACATAACTACATTGAGGACAACAATGATGAGCTTCACATACAAGGATCTCATAGACGTGGCCATCGGCTCACCGGAGTCGGGCCATGTCAATTTCTATGCATTGCACGTGCTGCTCTCGAACTTTGCGCATAAACTGGAATGCCTCGACGAGGCGGTGGAGCAGGATGACTATCTGCTGGCCAACATGCGCCTCCAAAGCAGCCTGAGTAAGTTCCTTGAGATTTTCTGTAGATCAAGTCGTAGCTGTAGCTGTGCAACTGCACCTAGTTGGCAAGTCCTCCAGGTATCGACTGCACGCCGGCGCCGACGACGATGAAGCACCCACAGAGGTAGCCGCCGAACCGGCTGCCGCGGAGCCAGCTGCCGCAGAGCCAGCTGCCGCAGAGCCAGCCGCCGCAGAGCCAGCCGCAGCTGCCGCAGAGGCAGCACCAGCAGAGAACGCGCCAGCTGAGGCGGAAGCATCGCCAGAGCCGGCTGCTGTGACGGAAGCAACCACTCCGGCACCGGAGCCTTCGGGAGCACCGACACCAGCTCCTGAGGAGGCGGAGCCACAGCCAGATTTGGAGCTAGTCCCGGAGCCGGAGCAGCCTACGGATCTGGGCGCCGCTTCATCGCCTGCCATGGCCTCACGCGCCTCCTCACGCACCTCCAAGCTAGACAGAACCCAAACGCGAGCCGAGGGCTCTGTGATTGGCTCCTTGGCCAAGCTGGAGCGACGCCTCTCGAAGGTTGAGCTGATGAAGGAGCAGAAGGAGCTCGAGTTTCAGAACTTCGTTAGCTTGCTGACGGGCCAATTGAAGCTAACCATGGAGCAGCTCAACAATGTCACCCACTTGATGCTCGATCGCAAGCCCAGTCCGGAACGCATGAAGCTGCTGCGGAACATTGCACGTCAGCTCCGTATGCTGATGCGGGTCGAGGATGATGAGGTGTCCATCAGTTGGAGCAGCGCTGAGGCTGCCGTTGAGATGGACATGGAGGAGGGTGAGGAGGAGGAGGAAGAAATGGCAGTGGAGGAGTCCAGTGCGCCCACCGAATTGGCCAAGCCCGAGGAGGAACTGGAACTGGACCAGCATCTCTGCTATGGACCCGAGCGCATGCTCAACGAACTGCTGGAGCTCAAGTCTGACTTCTGTGCACTCACCAACAAGGTCAATGAACTGGCCGCTGAGCTAATGAAGCAGGATGCGAAGCGTCTGATGGAAATGATGCAGGATATGCAAATGACTATGCGCGAGATGAAGCTGGCCTCAGCCGGAAATCTGGAGGCAAATCAAGGCATGTTAACCAAGATAAATACAGCCACAACACAGATACAGACGCTCAAGAATTCGGTGGCGCATCTGGACGAGATTAAGATTGACAAGGCGGATGTGGAGCTGCTGCTGGCCGAAAAGGTTGACTTTCCACAGCTGGCCACAAAGGTGTCGCTGGAGCAGCTCGAGGAGTACAAGGAGCGCCTGGAGAAGCAGTTCTGCGAGGTGCGCTACATTATCAATATCAACGAGAAGAACGTTCTCCAGATCATTGACGGTCTGCGCATGACCCTGGGCATTGATTCGCTTGAGCTGAGCCTCAAGGATTTCCGTGAGATGATCGAGAAGCGTGTCGCCCTCATTGCCGAGGCCCTGCACAAGTACATGGAGATGACCAACGATGATTGCGCCGCTGCTGCCGGCCGCGTCAAGGTCATGCAGGATCTGGCCTGCCTCTCCTGCGACACGCCCTGCGTGATGCGTACCATGGAACGCTCCAAGCTGCCGCGACCATCCTCTGCTAAGGCCTCCAACAGCATCGGTCCACTGGTCACTTATGAGCTGGGCCAGATCCGCAAATCGGGCATCATGGGCTACTACCGCAAGGACGAGTTTCCCCATTCGACCAATGCCTGGACCCAGGGCCTAGGCGGCACAGTGCCTGTCAACAAATGTGTGCCACGTCACGCCGGCGGCCTGCACACCATCCACACCGCCGATGAGCACATGCAGAAGGTGGTGCTGTCCAAAAAGAATACGGGTTGGGCTTAGACAGGATGTTTCTGCTTGCATTTCTCTATGTTAAATGATTTCACAATAATACAAAAAAGAAAACGTAAAAAAAAAATTTAAAATATTACCAAAAAAATAGTCAGGTATACCCAACAGACCGGAAAAACATAACAGTAGTACAGATGCCGGAAACCTTGACGAAAAAAAAAAGCAACAAACTATTCGATTCATTTATTGACTGGTGTAAAATTATACAATTAAAATCAATTGTTATAAAAAATTTAATTTTGTAGTTTTTTTAGTGAGGAAATGAAAAAAAATTAGAATATATATTTTTATCCTTATTGCTACTACTTAAATTACTATTTTAATAATTACTATTAGTTATATCATTTTAATTATTATTTTTATTATATTAATTACTTGTCCTATTTTAATTATTAATTTCTTGAAACTTGAAACCGTTAGCCTCGCACTTAGCTATATAAAAAAGTCATTTGCCGCTTCAGCCCGAAAGTATGCAATGAGTATTTTTTTCATTAATTTTTTAAATTGCAATTTAGTTTTAGTTTCTTGCTGAATTACCCTATCATTTATTTTATTATACGTCATATATGTGAAAAGCAATTGTCATGACTCACCAGAAATTACTTCCACGAAACACTTGCGTCCCATACCCACTCGTTAGCACGGACTCAAACCTTTGTAAGTCTGTTGGCCAAGTGCAAAAACAACCCTGCTCTTTTACAAACCAAGCGAAGTACACTGAACAAAATTGAGCAAGTGGTTGCAATGAATTTCGGAGAAATTATTTTGATTGATATTAAAGCTGATTTGAAAGGTTGATTTCGGAAATGGGTTTTTACAAGGCACAAGAGTTGATGCTAATATTATTTATATATATTCATTTCTGATATGTTAAAATATTTAAATCAAACTAAATCGTAAATGACACATTAACATATATATGTGAAATATATCCGCTATTCAGTTTTGGTCACGTAAGGGTATATTATATTAGGTGTTTGAAATCATCATAATAATATATATAAAATAATATAAAAATTGTTATATGCATATATTAAACATATTCAAAGCATTTATCTTTTCAAACAACAATTAAAATTGTATGTATATAACATTTAAGATTGCTTCGAACGGGCATTGAGCCCCCTTTTTCGCTCAGTGCAACCACTTGCGAGCGGTTACGTTGGCTGTGCGTGGCGTAAAGTCGCTTCACTCCGAACAGTTTCTCTTCGAACGCGCAGCCGAGTGGTTGTTCCTCCAGCGAGCGTGTGTGTGTGTGTGCGTGTGTGGTGCGGCTCTCTGAAACGATAAATAAAAAACCAGCTGGCTGTGGCTAGGGGCAATATTATTTACTAGCTCTGGCTCTGGCTCCGACTCTGACTCTGGATCTGACTCTGGCAGTGGCGCGCGCGGCCTGAACAAGCTCTGTCGATCGCCAAATCGAATCAGATATTAAATGTTACCCAAAGGCGACGCGTATTTTGCGGTTTTCCTATTGTGCTTGGCTTTATTTGCGTCTGCCCCGCGTGTGTCTTGTGTTGTACTCGTGTTGCGATTTCGGCGGAATTTCATTAACAATTCGACTACCCTCCAATTGGCACAAACTATTTATTGATTTCAATAATACAAATACATACATATACACGTACATATATGTCTTGCAAGAACACTTGAGTTTTCATATTCTTTTTTGGCAATGTCAGCTGAAAACAGTCGTAAAGCATAAGGCGCAACGAATAATAATATTAAAGCAAACGCAAAAATTATATATATTAAGAATACGAAACGTGACGTAGCAGCAAACAAACAAAAGCAAAACAAAAACAAAAAAAAAAAGAAGAAAAGTAAAGGCTCCGTGAATTCTTGATCTTCGTTTTGTGTGTGTTTTCGCTGAATATTCTGCTGCTTCTTCCCCAACGTGATCGCGTCATCCTCGTCCTCTTTGGCAGCTGCTTCGTTACCTGAATTGCGCGCACAGCCGGCAATTAATTGAGGCCCTACGTATTGCGGCGTCTCTCTCCCCCCCACCTCTCTCTCTCCCGCTCTCTCTCG